GTAATTTTTTCCTATAAAATAGCTCGCAACAACAACTTATTAAAAGTGTATAGGTACATTCAATTCCGACAAGAAACTACTTTTTTTTACTGAGGAAGTAACCAAATAAATTTCTTAATCTTTCCTTATCTACAACACTTTAATCACATTAAATTGCTATAATATTCAAAACTCGCATGTACTCATCTCAAATTCAATAATTCAGAATTTCAACTAATGGTCTCACATTTCTGATAAACTGATTTATTCGTCGAGCGATTGAACGCTTCTTTAAATTGACAAATATTTGATTTAATAATATTGCTAAATACCATTTTTATACTCAAGGACAAACTTTTTGATTTCGGGCCCCAAATAATACGATTTCTCAAAATAGAGCCTGATCAAAAATTGGTGTTAAGTACCCGAGTATTGCGCTCTCAAAATAGACTACTCATTTCTGGCGAAACCCGTACTGTTTGTCAAAACCCTTTTCTTAAAAGTATCCATTTTCCAATTATTAAATATATGTAAGTCTCTTCGTAAGTTTCATAATTTCTAGTACAATTTTGTATAATAAGTTTGTCTAATGAATTAGTAATTTTTATCAAGTGTTTTAATCAACGTGTTGTTGATCCAAATCGTTCGGCTTCCTAACAATTGACAGGCCAAATAGATCTCAGTTCGCATAACTGATATGGAATAGGTTCTTTACTAATTTCACGTTGATTTCTATCCTAATTTGCGCGTTCAATGAATTTTGAAAAACATTTGTTGCATGAAGGCGTTCTTAAATAAAGAAGCAAAAACTGAAACATAGTTTTAGGAAATAACTGTGGTACAATTAAATTATTCCTAATCAGAAATTAATTCTTTAAATTGGAATCAGTGGATTCTAAAAAATATTATGTGGTATTTTGATTGATTTTTAAGGCAGTGGCAAATATTTTTGCCACAAAACTTTTAATGTATTTACCGATATGCCTTGTCGCTTAATAGTGATCAATGTTTAATAGCACGTAGAGAGATATTTATTTCAATAACTACTGCTCGTGTAAGTTTCGCTACCTCCAGAAGAATAAAAGCAAAAATTTAAAATTTTAGAACAGCTTATGCTTTCAAAATCTGAAACTATCTTGTAGCTGTAAGGTTGAACGCGAAAAACGCGCCTTAAATATACATCCATTATTCCCCGTAAATAACTAATAACTTTTTCGTCTATCTTAAAAGGTTAAAATTGCGCAATAATTATAATAACTTGTTTGTTATAACGTGTTGAAAATCACATTGACCTAATTACCAGAAAATTGTTATTGTTTCCCTTCCAGAAGAAAACTGTCAACTTTCGACCATATTAAAATTCTATAGGTTCTAGCTGGCAAGCTGTATCAAACATTATATTTCCCTAATTAGCTTTACCAGAATATTATTTTTTGTATGTTGTTTGGTAAAATTGCTTTTTAATGTTTCTGATCTAATCCATGCAAGATGTATAATATTTCAAATAAATACTTATTATGGAAATTCATTACGCACGTACAGATCACGGGCTGGTATTAGCATTAATTTATTATAAACAACATAACTGAACTGAAATCTAGATTTGGAAAAATAGATCCGGTGCAAGATCTACCGTGACAATTTTGGCATGCACAACTCTGTCCCTCTATCACTTCCGACCCTTTCATTTACAGTACTTAAACCTACAAATAAAGTGGCGAAAGCACTGATAGTAATATAAGAAAAGCCGCCTTCGAATAGCTTTGTGGTTGCTTTGAGATAGTCGAAAATTTGTATTTTCGTGCTAAAATATTACGTTGTCGGCGCCTCTACCTTACCTTCTCCGTTCTGCTTAATATACTCTGCCGCCATAAATAAGAGCCGATTTCAAGCAATAATTTTACCATCTCAAACATAATGTTAAAATCAGCAAGATGGAAAAAATTGAAGGACAATTAAAAGAATATTCAAAGCATTCAGAAACAAGTATATGTATTGATACGCTAATAGTGAGCGTAACTAGATGTTAGCTAATTCTTTCTAAATAATTGCCGGAGCTGCAATGAAACAGTATGCTAATTTTAACATTTTCAATCGATTATTTTATTTATAGAGTTTTTGTAAACAATCATACACAAACAAGTTTTTCTATGATTATACTGAAATTGATGTCTATAAATATGGACGTATTTTAATAAACCATCCAGTAGAACAACTAATGTTTCTGGATAGATTGTTTAAGAGCCGGCATTTTTTCAACAAATGGGTATCAACATGTAGGTATTCCGAGCAACCATGTATAAACAAATATTGAGAGTTATTTCGTTGTCCAAGTAGAATAATATGTAACTTCATTGACGCAAAACCGCTCTTTCATTTAAACTTTATCGGTGGAATGTACATCAAGTTACTTTGTTAAAGCGCTGTATGTATGTATTTCATTATCAGAATAAAAGTTGTTTGTGTGCAGGCTTACTTTACTTATTTAGTTTACTTAAAAGAAAATACGTTTAAAGTTATAAACTGACCTCTACCATTACTTTTTACTCTGCATTGAATGTGTTTCCCTGCATTCAAATACATGTGTGCCAGTTACGTTTACAGGTAACAGTTTAGTATCTGAGTATATTAGTATCTACATTATTCAATCGCAAATATTCATTGTTCATGGTTCGGACTTTTCAGGTTCCGTCGAATGCCTTCTGAAATGTTTAAATTTTCTAATTGTAATAAGTTCGTCCAAGTCGCCCTTTGACTCAGAAAAACTTTTGATTTTATAGTTTTCCTGATTACTTTTGTAAGTTCGTATTTCACTTTTCACATTCGGGGTGTCAACTTGAATACTTTTCGCCCATGTTCAAACGTTTTCGAATAATAGCATTTCAAAGTTGTAGACACAATTAAACTTGCGTGCATTCAAATATTCGTTTTCAGGTTAGTGTTAACACGAATACAATTGTATTAGGTTCTAATACAGATGATTAGAAGAGTAGTTCACACTGTTAAAATCATTGAATAACAGGAAAAAAATTAGTTTTGATGGCGGATTTATTAATTTTGATCTTATTTCTTATTTATTGATAATTTTGCCTTGAAAAAAAATTATTTTATTTGCGGAAGAGAAATTTCTACAATAAAACCTATGTCATCTACTTACGCACTCTCTTATAAGTTGCTCAATTGTTGTCAATTTTCCTGTAAACAAAAATAAGGTCTGTATTTAAACTATTCCCTGACATTTAAAACGGTCCATTTTTCTTATTTATCATATTTAAGGGCTATGAGGCTAGATTTACTACGGTTCAGTATCGGATTACCGTATTGGCCTCATTTCGATTAGTTTTATAGTTTTCTACCGGGGCAACCCATGCTTAAAACCAAATATTAATTTCAGACGCACGGTCATGCGAGACGCTCGCAAGACTCTTGCAAAACTCTTGGTCTTGTTCTTGCATACCAGTCTTGCTCTTGGTCTTGCAAACCAAAAGGAGGCTTGGTCTTGCATTTTTTACAAGACGAAGACCAAAACTGCAAGACCAAGACCAGTCTCGTGGGTTTCGTTGTAGACATTTCTCTTCCGTAATTAAAAAGTTATTTTTCCCGAAGTAAAATAACCAATAAAAGTTATTCAACTATTTTTACGGTGTAACCGAATCTTCTAATCATTTGTACTATAAGAAGACCCAATGACATAATTTTTGTTTAAACACTAATCTGATAACCAAAATCTCAATGCAGGCAAGTTTAATTGTTTCTGTAATTTTGAATCGCGATTATTCGAAAACCTCTGAACAAAAAGCAATAAAGTGGTAACCAATGTAAGGAGAATTGAACGCCTTTTAAAACGGTAGTTTTCAATTTGGGACTGAAGTTTTCAAATTGACACCCGGTATATCCACACTTATATGTATTTGTACGTGTATATTTTAGACGATTGCGGCTGGATAGATCCCTGATTTTAGATGGTTCATTTCAACGCAGTAGTAAACTGAATTGGTCCCCTGGCAGTTGTAGTCTAATGTGAGGTCTGATGCCACCATCAAGTATATTGCCATCTTCTCAAACAGACCGCCAGCCTTTGTTAAACATGGCTCTTTGTATGCGGCATTGCTTTATCTGAATTCGAATTAATAAATTCTTGCGCAGTTGTTTTTTAGTAATCACGACTGCAAAAAAATTGTGTATTGATTTATGTATAAAATGCAGCACTCATTTTTCAGAAACAACATCTATGGACAATAGTTATTACAGTTTAAAGCCAATAATAACTTTAGTGACCATAATATTTGAATTAAATGTTATTAGGGAGCGATTCCGCTCAGCTTCTTTGTTATGGCATAATCCGAGCTATACAAAGCCCGTCAGCTGCGTCACATTTTAATACACGTAAAATTAAAATTAGGCCTTCATTTGCATCGTGTAATGGGGAAAAACCTCAAACTTTGGGCTGCCACGGGATGTCTTCTCTACTGAACGCTTTAAGCCAGAAATTCTCGGTTGTGCGACAGCCAGTCCGAATAAAGCTGGAATAATATGTAGGAAATATTATGCCACGAACGTACAAAAGCTCTGATAAAAAGGCAAAGCTTTAAGGAATATTTAAAGTTATAACGCGCACTGCACGTACACGTGGGGACATATGGGTTGAAATTAATTAAGTGCTGAAATACATGAGCGACTGCCTAATTAATTAAGCATTTATGACACGACTAACGTTGCTTTTTCACCAGTTCACAGACATTACCTGTAGACTTATTGGAACCAAAAACATATTTAGTAATTACAAAATACATAAAATTTATAAATAATTTAAAAATAGGGCGTAMAGGTTGCGATTAAATGACTTGCCGAAAACAATTATTAACGTGAAGRAGCAGATATGTATATAATGTAGGATAATAATAATAATRTAGGATACAAAATGGTGAAAACTGAATTTATATCGCAATTCAACTTAAAGTGTGTGGTACAAATTGGCGTAGTTTCTCTGAATTGTTTTTGGAAATACACAGAAAACACAGTTTAATTCTCATGTTTTCAGATTTTTATTTGTTTGCTGATTATCAGAGTACATAGGATATGGTTATTTATGGATTGGCTATCCATGTAATTCAGACACATAAATGCAAAATTGTGTTGTTTCGTAGTTCAAACTATGATTTCAAATATCCCCTTCGAAACCTGATGGTGTTAAATAGTACCATCTACAAGGTACTTCTGATCTTCAAACCGAGAGAGTATGCGATCAGGAAATGTACATATCATGCAGCACTGTCGACTTTGCCGAGATTTGTTTGAAATGGTTGAGTTTTGCAACCAATCAGGTCATCTCTAAAATTAAATTACTAATATATTATTAATATTTAATAAAAGAAGAAAAATAAATATATATCTCTCAAGAGGCCAGCCACTCGTGCTTTCAAAATATTTTCCAGAACGCCGTAAACAGCCTACACACGCAACACTTCAAGTCGTAAATAATAACTTTTGAATCATAACATTTTAATGGACGAGAATGTACTTACGTTCAATTTTTAATTTAAAATTTACTTAATTAACTSCTGTTCAATTTGTACCGGTGTTCGGTAAATCAGCTTTAATGTGTCCTCGTGTCATGTGTATCTTATATGCATGGTAAGCCCGCAGCGCTTCTGCGTGGGATTCATTTTTGATTTCGTACTTTTTGTCTTGCTAGTGCACTTGACTTCAATAATGTGACAGAATATTCTAAAAAAAGTCCAGACAAACACTCAGTTATACACCAGCAGTTTAGTCACAAAATGGGCGGTCTTGGACAATGATATAGACGCTATGAGAGATAATGGTGATTTGTAAAAAATTGCAAACTGGTCGAGTTGTACACTACACAGGTGGGTTTATCTAATTGATTACTGCTTACCAATCGGCGTTGTCCAAACAACATAAACGTATTTAAATTAAGCAGAAATATTGAAACAATTAATACCTACTGAATTTATGGGCACTATTTGACATTAAAAAAATGTTAATTGAGTCCAGAAAGAACATTTTTTGTAATCAGATAAAAATGTAAACTATAAACACCAACATGTTACATATATTAATTAATAAAAGATTTTACGCCGAAAGAATTTCACTCTTGTTAATTTAACTTAAGCTAAATATTTTTAGCTTTGCCTTTTTTTAAGTTACCGTCATTCATACATAGGTACATATATACCCAACATTTCCAAATAAAGTAGGCTGACGAAAAAGTCAACATGCTAATATATTTATAAAGAGCTTCAAACCGTCAAAGACCAGATATCGTCTTTTACTTTCTGGATGTATGTCTTTGTATATATCGCGTATAGACGGATGCCCTACAGCTGTTAACACACAAAAGTCTGTACGAAATAATACAGTTATATCTGCTCCCTACGAAAGCAAACACACGGATCTGTCGATCTCGCATCTTTATGTTTACCAGCTTATTACTACGTGTTAAGACACCGAATGATGATGGTTGCTGACGTTAAAGAAGGGCTGTGAAGCTGGAGGAGCGGCTATAATATTACTAGAGATTATACAACACAGTAAAATGTATATTTCCAGGGGTGCTTCAATAATTAAACTTTTAACAATATTAACTTGAGTCAACTCTGTAACGGGAACCTTTCGTATAAAACTGTAGATGAACGTGTGGTTTTTACCACTTTGTGATGTACTAACTTGTAGTCTATGTAATACATTTGGATTCAAACAGGCAGCCTCAATATGCTATTAAGGAGATGCCTAAGTATTAAAATTGTAATTAGTCTAAATCTATTAAGTAACCGCATATTCTTGTATTTGTGATTCGGATAAATTTGTTGTGTAAGTCAATTTAAATTTACGGTACCTTGACAGCATTAAAAACTTTATTATCTTGATAGGTGGTTCAAACCATGGCACATACGGACAATTTCTAGACTGGAAATGAAGCATCATTGTGTTTTTTATTATTTGGTCTCCAACAGAATTTATGCCGAGATATTTAAAAAAATGTTTTTCTCTGAGAACTGCCTTAGAAAAGTTGGGTTTAGAAAACAATATTAGCAATGCTTTTAATTTAAGCTCTAAAACTTAAAGCATTGACAGGTTACATCTTCAGTTTTCGACCAAGCGCCTCAATTTATTGCGACATGCTTAAGCGCACCAGTTCTTATAATGAAATGCTTGTTTTTGTTCATTCCTTGTTCAGGCCTGGAAGTGATCAAAACGTATCTAAGCGTATAGCTAGTCAATATATACAGGGTGTCGCAATAAGGATGGTAAGCGGCTGTATCTTGAAAGTATGTATTGTAGAGTGATCGGATGAAAAAAAAAATCGATAACAAACCTGAAGAAAATAATTTGTTGGAAATAATTTCGAAATTTCTTAGATGACGACTAGATGTCGTAATTGCAAACGGTATTTTAAAAAGTCGACTTTATACAGAAATTGTTCCGATAAGTGAAACATTTAGTAAGTTTAGTCAAAAGACTATAAGAAAACTGTACTACTTTCCTTATGAACTTTTTTCCTAACTTGTCAAATAAAGGGCGGGGGGAGAGTCAAACCGCTTAAATCAAAGAAACCTGTAACTCCGAAACAGCTCGACCAATTTCAAATTTTTTGCTATCAATTGAATGAGCAATAAAAACTTACTAGATATTTCACTTATCGGGACAATTTCTGTATAAAATCGACTTTTCAAAATACCGTTTGCAATTAGGCCATCTAGTGGTCATCTGAGAAATTTCAAAATAATTTCCAGCAAATAATTTTCTTCAAGTTTGTTATCAAAATTCTTTCCGATCACTCTACAACACATACTGTCCACGATACCACCGCTTACCATCCTTATTGCGACACCCTGTATAAATCTTAAATATTTTTTCACTAGACACTTTGTGTTACACACAAAATTTTACTTGAACACCTCAAAAAAAGCTTTAGGCTTTTAAGCCTTTGCCACATGGCAAAGTGGCAAAGCCAATTGTGTGTTTTAATTTTGAATGATTCTTTCAGCATTGGTGTTAACTCGGTAATCAGCAAATATTTTCTTTGTTTGATTCCAATTTTGATTTATTTTTCTTGTGTGTAATTGTTATTTTATTTTTTCTTTCCTGGGTTTCGGTCAAAATGTGAAAAAAAATATTGATATCGTTTATTTCATATTAGGTTTCGGCAAGACAACAGCGCCATCATCAGATTAAAATTGAAAACAAACTAGAAACAGCAATTCATAATAAAAATATTGTTTGGGAGACCAAACCATTTAAAAAACTTACCCCATATTTGGGAAAAATTGGATTCTTTATAGGCTTGGCTGTCTTCAAAACATCATATTTGCTTGAATTATTATCTACATTTGCGAGAACAGTATGTATGTAATGAGATAAGCGGAAATTATTTTAATTTTTCGCTAGTGTACACTAGTGTTTGGCAAATGTTGCTAAGGTTATCGGTATATGATCTGAAATTTACTGCTTTTGCATGTTTGTTTCCTTAACTAATATATCCGCCTTGTAAAAATAGAAATTATATAACATTTTGTGTGCATGTTGTGTTAATGCTGTTTTATTTTCATCAGTATTTATCAGACTATATTTATACCACACGCCCTATATACAGGGTCGGCCAACGAAAAGGTCGCACTCCTATTTATAACTCTCCTGACAGACTTAACTTTAATTTTTAGGGGGTCATTTTGCTGTCTATCATTACATTATACAGGGTGTTTCATAAACAAGACACTACCCCACACTTTTGATTTTCAAACGGAAACCTACTAGTTTTATGTCATTTTTCGATCCTGCCAAAAGTTTCTAGTAAATTTGGTATAGCATGGCTTATACCCTTCTTCAACCGTTTCAATTTTATTTGCGTTTGTTGTTGAGATATTGAGCCGTTTGAAAGTATCGCAGATTGCCGTTTCTATGGCTACCTCTGACAGATTAGGAAAAGCCACGAGTCGCCGTCAAGTGTCACTGTGGGCTTAAACTTTTTTTTAACTTAACTTGCACATCTTTTATTATAATGAAATTCTCCATTCGATGAAGAGTAGAAATAATAAAAATTTATTTTGAAAATTAAAGTTCGGCCAGGGTTTCCGCCCGTTTATTTAATGAGGTACATCCAGACAGAACTATTAATGATAAGTATGTGGGAAGATTAACCAAGAAGTTGGAAGATTCTTTTGCACCATCCAATTCAAACGGTGAGAATCAATGCCATTGAAACGGCGGTTTTGGGACACGTAGCACTTGACCATATCCATAGTACTCGCTAACTGGCTACGTCTTCCGGAGTTTATCGCACGTGAATATGAAGAATATTGAAAAGTCATAAATTTCATCTTTACAAACTAAAACTTGTACATGAATTCAATGAATATGATTATGATAGAAGATCCAAACTTTTTGATTAATCTTCCCACATACTTATCGCTAATAGTTCTGTCTGGATGTATCATTTTTATTATTTTTACTCTTGCTCGAATGTAAAATTTCATTATAATGAAAGATGTGCAAGTTAAGTTGAAAACAAGTTTAAGCCCACAGTGACACTTGACAGCAACTCCTTGTTTTTCCTAATCTGTCAGAGGTAGCCATAGAAACGGCAATCTGCGATACTTTCGAACGGCTCAATTTCTCAATCATTGAACAACAAACGCAATGAAATTGAAACGGTTGAAGATGGGTATAGGACATGCTATACGAAATTTACTACAAACTTTTAGCTGGATCAAAAAATTACAAAAAGTAGTAGGTTTCCATTTAAAAATTAAAAGTGTGACGTAGTATCTTGTTTATGAAACACCCTGTATATAATGTAAGGATAGTCAGTCGACCTTTTCGTTGGCCCACCCTGTATGTATTATACCATTCCACACAATTCACTCTGTATACGGTATTTGGTACATCCATTCTATCAGTCTTAGGTTTTAGTTTTGTGAAACATTCAGTTATAAGTTGTTTTTGGTTTTTTCGGTAATTATAATGTTGTGTGGTTTTAGTATTTTTGTTAAATTTTTATTGATTTCTGGAACATATGGTAGTGATATTTATGTATTGTTTCTTTCGTCCTCATTATTAATATGTTTAGTGGAGTTATAGATTTTGTTAATTCTTCGTCTTATTATTGACTCAGTAAATTTTTTTGGGTAGTTATTAATAAGTTTTCTGACTGAACCCCAAGAAGTAAAAAATATAATAACAATTTGATTTCAATTTTTGCGTTACCTTTGACGATTTGGTTTAGCTCATAGTGACATAGTATACGCAACGCAAGTATACACGAAATATGAATTTTGCTAGCCTTTTAAAAAGCACGGAAACTTGCTGTTCACTCTGTCTGATAGAACATCACAATGCGAATTTCTGCGATCCATAAAAGAGTTACAAATGATTCGAATCAGTTAAATCTTGGCTTAGCTTCACCGATCCATTACTCTTCAAACATTCATAATTTACGTTGTGTTACGGTTCTGCTTTATACTCAAAGGTTATCGCCGACAGGGGGAAGAGAAGCAAGTCTTAATTAGGATCCGTGTATGCGGGATAAGAAGCATCAAGAGCAGGTTTGTTTTAATAAGTGCTACTGAAACGAATTGACACTCTGGATGCCGTACAACGAAAGCGCGGATTAACTCAATATTTACTGATGAAAATTGACTGGCATAGAACGATCCCAAAGTAGAGGCTTTTTCCTGAGATTAGAAATATTGCAGCTTTACTTTACGTGCGTGAGGAATAGCGCCAAAGTTTAATAAGATGTTAGCAAACGCGTCAAGAAATGGCAAGCTTAATGGAGGCCAGAGTTCCGTTCAAAATAAACTTTTTTTGAATGGTGATCTATTTTTTTGGGGCCTTACGTCACTGATTAATAATGTAATTTTGATACATGACGCAAAAGTACTTTAAATTAATAAATTAAAGAAATAAATTTAAAACTCATTTTTGGATTAGTTAATTCTCAATTAGTCTCGAATTAGATCTAAGTTTCAGTTTGGAAGTGAATTTGCCGGTAAGTTTTAATGCTACTGGTGTGATCAAAATTGATGTGAGATCGATTAACTCAACTTAAATCAGCACAGTCGATATAAATTAAAAAAAAACTCAGTTGTTTTGCACTATTAAAGTATAGCACTCATTGTCATTTAGTTCACTGGGGTAGAAAAATGGGACACCATTCAACTCCTCTTATTTATTTTCTGTCCATTCAGTTTGGAATCCCAACCGGTTAAGCTGACAACATATAAAATATAATTACGCAAATGTTGCAGAGGAGAAAATATGTCAGCGCTGTAGTAAGAATATACGGGTACAAAGCGAATTATTTAATTGCGACAGTTGTTCTTTTACGCTAACGTTCACACTCCCCAATTTATCCCTTCAGCTTGTGTTTTATTCACGTCAATTGGCACTATTAGTTGATCCCAGTTTCTTTATGCAATTAAATCGTGAAGTCGAGTACAAATCGCGGCAAAACCAGAAAATAAATTTAGCTGATGAGGGCTATTCATAAAGCCCTAGTCATAGAGTAATAGTACTTTCACAGTGGAGCATAAACTCGAAAAGGTCTCAATTGTAACGCAAGCGTGTGAAAACGTACAAGCAAAGGAAGGAATAATTGCACCAAAAATTCTGTATTATTCAACGTAACAAAGTGGCTCACCGCAGTTTTTGCTTTGCGATGTAGATCGTTTCTCATATACCAGTATTAGTATGAATCTACGTCCGGACTTAAAAATATTTTTCGAGAAAACACTGCGAATAATTTGAATTAGTTTGGGTAGTGTATGGTGTAAATCGGCTAAGAAGAATGATTTCAATAATAAATAAAATGTACATTCAAGCAAGGAATTTAAAAAGCAATTGTCATATTTCAAACATACAGTTTATTTATCTGGTTAAATACATTGAAATATTTTACTAACTGCAATAACTATTATGACCGTGAAGCTAGAGAAAAATTTGCTTAGTTTTGCTTAGTCCATCCTGACAGCTTTACAGATTGACAGATTATACTCGATCCTGTCACTTAATGAACCATTATTAACACTTGCTCTCGGAAAACCTCGTCATATTACGTTATATGCAATATTTTTTCCTGGAGAGTCTCGGGGGTGTTTGCACCGTATTAATTGATAATTTTCAAGAGTTCTTGATTAGTAAAAACTACAGAGGTCTTTTATTCGTTTATTCACATATAGTCTGTCCGCTATAACTTTGATCGCACGTCATCAGTTGTCTGTCGAGCGTTGTTGCCATAGCCGCTAGAAATTCTCGAAGCTGTATTAATTTATCTCAATGCTGTCTCGCTTTTGCTGATTATTCTTTACGGAATAACGGTTTATTTGAAAAGCACAAATATACCGTCAACGCAAAAGTCATGGACAAGTACATGATAAATGGAACAAGCAAACGTGATTTTCACCAACCTAATAATTTTAAAGATGAACATAAATAATCAACATCGCTTTAAATTAGGTAGGTTGCTAAAGTTTTTTGGTATTTTATGATTGCTTGAGGCACTCCAATGCTCAAAACACAACAAAAAAGATTCCACTTATCACTAAAGAGCGGAAAAAAATACATTTGTTGAAAAAGAGTTGTTGAAGTTGTTGAGGATTTGATAGACCCGACTTATACTGCTCTTCTTAAAACCAAATAACTTTTAAAAAATAAGGAATTAAAAAAACATTTTAAATTTATAAAAGCAAATTATTATTTTATTACCAATAGTTTAAGAAAATTGGCGAATACGTGTCTTTCTTCAGAAGCATCGATTACTTGACTAAATAATCTCGAACTGGAATGCAAGAAAGTTAAAGGAACAATTGGTGCAATTTGAGTTTGAGCAAATTTGAGTCAGTGTCCAAAAATAATACAGGTTTCCGACTCGTTAAAAGTGTATGGATACTTTTGTTGGTAATTTTGACACTGAAATAAACATCCCAAATTTACCAATAGCCGTTATTTCAAAACTTCGATATCCATCTCTAACTTCGTAACATACATCGTAAAATATATCATAAACTATAAGTGATAAATTAACGAAACTACGATGGCCTAATCTCGCAATTCGAAGGCCAATTCAGCTATCTTAAATAAATTAGGGGTATGCATTTAAAATAAGACAGAAAGTTAGGCAAGAGTGCCAAATGTATTTTACATGGTTTTGGCCATACTGGTTACCACCGGAAAGAAAATTTGAAGTTTCCACAACTGTAAGATGGAAAACTTCTAATGCACGGTCTACGTAATTCACCCTGTATACCGGCTGAGAAGGCTGAATTAAACATTTTGTACATTATATCCTTCGGCGACTCAGTATATATAACTGCTCGGTATGTAATAGCGTACTTCTCGACCTAGTTATATATTATTCGATATTTAAAAATTTCGGAAGTGAAAAGTTGCAGTTGAATTGCCTTCTGAGGCAAATTTAGCCGTCCTGTAATATT